TGTACACGACCTCATACCTACACATTCGATCAAGTTTTTCCCGTTTAACTCATCAATATCTATTCTTTTTGTATCTGGAGCTATTGTAATCGTTACCTTTCACGATATTCCTCTTGTTTCCTTATTACGTTCTCCATTTCAACTTCTAAGGACTTGAGCATTCCTTGCCAATATCTCTCGCGTTTAACGTATTTTCTCAATTCATTCTTAAGAGCATCCTTTGATAACCCGCGATAAGGGTTCGGTTGATACTCAAGCTTAGAGCGTGATAAGCCGGCATGTGCTGAACTAGACACAGTGACCTTACCCACCCCATCAGCCACCAGCAGAACTTCAGGTTCCTAATTCCGATCAGTAGGTGACTTATTTAGATCCAGATCCATTTCAGTTTCAATAGGTGGCCGATTCAGATCCAGACCCGTTTCGGTTTTAGCAGGTGGCTGATTCAGATCTATGCTCGTTCCATGAAATGGCAAGAACACCCGATGAGCATGTACCATAAGGAAACATTAGATTTCCTTAATAAGGGGGTGTGGATTCAGTATCGATAAGCCTTCTAAGAGCTAAACCTACCCTCCAGGAAAGACTTCCAGACCTACGCCCTCATCCGAACAATAAAGAAGGACATTTACCCGCCAACAGGCAAAAACTATTTTCAAGCGGGTTTGAGAAAAGTCTACTCTCGTTGAAAGAAGGTAAATACTAAGAATTACAATTGTGACGGGGATGGCTCGATACATGAAGCTCCAAATCTTTCTCTTAATGGATCTATTCATGTTCTTTAATCTTCGGAGAATGCAACGTTGTATTATTGTAAGTTCTCTATTCCGAACATTTCTTGGAAGTGGACGACACACAGATTTACCATAACAATAAATAGAGTCAATGGTGACTTTGTCATGGGAAGAGTCTCTTCTTTCTTGCTTGATAGGGGGCCTCCATTCATTCACCCACCGTTGCAGACTACAAGTGCTCTCCGAACTGTGCTGGATAGTTACCCATCACATAGCTCTCAAACCCAACCTGTGGTGGATCCCGAGGGACAAAGTGAAAGAGTTTGATCCTTTGCCGCTAACTTTCAATTTGGATAAGTCAAGTTCCCTTAGTCGGTTCGCTCAGGTGGTCTTCCCTTATCTTCCCTAACGTTTAGAGTTTTTCGGGTTTGAGAAAGGAGCACCAGCCGAGCGCCCTAAATGAAAAAACAATGGACAGCTGAAGGAATCCATGATTCTTATTCGACCAATAATAAGCTAGCAACATGTCGATAGCACACTTTACCCTTCAATTGAGTATAAGTCAACAAGCAGCTTCCCCATTACTTCTTCCAGGCCGGATGGCAGCTCCCATCTGCCCTTCACTAGTTGGAAATAGAGGCAAGAGTCCATCCATATCCCTACTATTGCTTATTCTTTATCCTGTTTTTTTGGATAAACTTTACGCTCGCATATCCATAGCTACTGTCACACGGAGTTCATAATTAAAATTTAAATTAAATGCACGTGTTCGACATCACCAAAGGCATGCATATATGATAGCACGTAAAATGGTGTCTGTAGTTTTAAACAAGAGGTGGTGCGTGAGTTTTTAGGTAACCATCTCTTGTGGACTAACGAAGAAACAACGGGTATGCAAGTTCGGTCATGTTATCAAGCGATCTGCCATTATCATCATTTTGCAATTGGATGTAATTATGCCAACACGTCAAATAAATGGTTGATTATTCAATCACCAACATAACCATTGTTGGTGTTTATGGATATATAGAAGATAACCATGTTTAATTACAAAGTGACAATGTTTCCATTCACTTTAACTTTTAGGAATAACTAATAAGTGTGTCGTTTGTTTGATTTCACCATAAGCAAATATATGCAAATCAGGATGAATAGAATCAAATTATCTTATTTAGACAGACATGGCGATATGCATGAGCAAAGAACTAATATTTGATTGACTGACTGCTTTGATTTCACAGTTCAGATACATCTTTTCTTGTTTTTTATTCAGCAAAAATGACACTCATGAGAAAAATATTGAATTATAGAATTCCAACATATAATGTCATATAAAGAACATATATACTCCATGTAACAAACCTGGTGGATCACTAAAAAAGAAAAAAACATGTTCACAGTTAGATGATCCAACTTTTTTTTTTTTTACCTTTAAAAAGAGGCAAAATTCTCAAAATAGTTAGAGTTGTCGTGGAAACAGAAACAAAAACATCTAACACAATAATTGTTATTGCTAGGTTTTAAAATGTGGTTGTGTGTAGTTGGGACACTAGACAATCCTGATATAGTGCATCGTCTGAGGCATATGATTTTGATAATAATACAACCAAATGGAAAATGTTAAATGATCAATGCTATATGTTTTTTGTTGGATGTAAAATAAAATCTGAAGAAAACATGCAAAAAACTATTACTTTCACTATGCTTTAGTTATACATTCCCAGTTTCACTTTGGTAGTAATTTGAAACCAACTTTTATTTTTGCA